GGGTCCTCTACTGGACCTAAGTTCCATCAAGGAGTAGAACACATTCACCTTAATTACCGTTGCATACCTAGCCTGATACACATTAGACACTTGAATCATTTTTGGATGAATGGATTAATGAATGTACTTATGGGAAATACAGAGAATCTAGGAACTGCTCAGACAGGAATAATGAAAGTAAATTAAGTTTAAAAAAAAAAAAAAAAACTAGAGTCTGGGAAATTCCCATTTGGAGAAAAAGAGAGAATGTTCGGTTGGTAACAGTGCTCTTGGAAGTCGGGTTTAGAATTTCCGATGTCCACGTAAGGAAAAGGGACCTTAAATGAAGGAAAGAGACATCATCCTCGGATGAAAGGAGGAAAGCTGCGTGATAGAGTGGAACATGACTAAGGGAAATAGTGTATTTTTTAATCTTTCAGATCTTTTAAGACTATCTGTGATATTTGGCGGAGGGTCGGGGGCGTGGGACACAGTTATCCTGAATTCTTGGGTGAATGGATTCGATGATTCCTGTAGTAAATGCTAATTTTATTTTCTTAAGAAATCACATATGTTACCAGACTTACTGTGGTGATCATTTTGCAATATATATAAATCTTGAATCATTATGCTATATACCTGAAACTAATGTTAAATGTCAATTATACCTCAGTTAAAACCATAAACAAACGTTAGTTTTTTGTTATTAAAAATCAGACACGTTTGAAAAAGTGATGTTAGCAGTATCTCATTCCATTTTAAAAGCGCAAAATTTATCTGGAGGGGGTCTGGCTTGTATTGGTGGGATTGTAATTTCTGCTTCACACTTGAGTTGCCTCTTGTTAGATCCACATCTGGTTCCTTCTTCAATGGATAGAGTGACAGTGTATGGAAACATGATTCTTAGTGCAAGTGGCCCTTATTTCTTAAATATAATTTTATTTTATCTTGTACAGGTCAGTTATACAGAGACAAAGCAGAACATATTTTATAATTCAAACAATGTAAATGATTATTGAAACTACTTGGTGATTAGTCGCTGTTTTAGTCTGCTAAGGGGAAGAAAAAGAGTACCTGACTCGGGAGGGATCAGAATTCAATATAATGTTTTATTGAAAGTTAAGGTTGTAAATGCTAGAGTATGTTAATAAGAAAAATGCAGGGGCGCCTCAGTGGCTCAGTCGGTTGAACGTCCAACTTCGACTCAGGTCATGATCTCGCAGCTCGTGAGTTCGAGCCCCGCGTCAGGCTTTGTGCTGACAGCTCGGAACCCTGGAGCCTGCTTCAGATTCTGTGCCTCCCTCTCTCTCTGCCCCAACCCACTCACATTCTGTCTCTGTCTCTCTCAAAAATAAATAAACATTTTTAAAAATTTTAAGAAAAGGCAGAGTGCATTTGGAGAGCTCTTTACCAATAGGGTAGGTTCTTAAGTTTAAAATCATTTGTCTGCATCTCTTTGTGATAATTTTAAACAACCTCTCTCATGCCAAGCACTATGTTTGTTGCTTTCACTTTATCATTTCAGAATGACCCTGGAAAGTTTGCAAGGGGATTAGTGGATTAGATACTTTTAAAACATTATTTTTAAGTTTAAAATGGCTTCTCTATATAGGTTCTTTCCTCTGGGCCCCCACCCCCTCCCCACGCTGAACATCTCCTGTTGTAGCATGTAACATTGCTTTCCACTGTGGAATTCAAAGGTGAGATTGTTGTTTTCCACAAGAATGGACAATGGGCACAGTCTGCTTCTTACATTTATAATTCCTAGAAGAGGTGAAGTTCTTCTTCTTCGTCTGGCTCCTAGCTAAGCATTACGGGGTTGGGGAGAGCCAGCCGGACGGGGTCACCTTTCTTCAACTTACCTTGGTGGTGCCAGCAATGTGGAAGACTGTGATGCAAAGCTGCTTCATGCAGTGGGTGGGAAGGAATTTACAATACTTGTTTCATGCCTCACAGGAAGTACATGCTTTTGTGGCTATTGCATCCGAATGACATGTTTCAGGTAAAAGGTGCGGAGAGATTGTAAATGTCAGTCTTCATGGCATGTCTGAGCATAGCACGTCAAGTGGGAGAGTTTAAAATTTCCTCCAGATTGTGGGTGATCCACTTGGGCAACATGAGGAAGTGAAGATCCCCATCCATGTGGCAAGTCCCTCCACACCACATTCTGTAATATTCCCAATGGCAGGAAAATCCTGTGTCTTCCTTTCTCTCATCCTGCCTTCATTTAAGGATTCTTATCAGTCAGTCGAAGATTATGAATGTCTCAGCCAAGAAGTGCTATGGCTGGATGTGTAAGGGACATTCTGAAGACCAATGTGACCATAAACATAGCACAGTTGATTTTCCTTTTACTTATTAAGTTTTCATTAGATATATCCAGGCACTGAATATCTTACCATACAAACTGCTTAGGGACCTTCCAGTTGGGAAGTCTGTCATGACATGGCACGTTGGACTAGGAAGCCCATTCCAGCTTAAAATCTTTCCATTTGTTAGAAAACTGCACAATGAGTTGTAATGTTGTTCTTTTAGTTTCCATTCTCCCATGGTGTTTTTGCCCTCTGGAAATGAAAACAGTAAATCTAGTCTTATTTTAATACCAGCTTTCATGTATTTGGGGGCATGAAGGAGGGTGGAAAACAGACTTATGTTTTTACCCACGTCTTGTTTTTCTCACTAAATATCCAGAGCAAGCTCATTCAATATAAAGTTTTCCAAGCCCTCTTTAGGAAAGACTCCATTTGAAATTTAGAAATGGGGAATAGACATGATGTGTCGGGATGTGGTCTGAGCGGTGCTACTAACATTGATAGAACAGACTGCAGTTACAGTAATTGTTTAGAAGCCAGTCACCTTTTTTAAGAATTTTTTAAAAATGTTTATTTATTTTTGAAAGAGACAGAGCATGAGCGGGGGAGGGCAGACAGAGAGGGAGACACAGAATCCGAAGCAGGCTCCAGGCTCCGAGCTATCAGCACAGAGCCCGATGTGGGGCTCAAACTCATGAACCATGAGATCATGACCTGAGCCTAAGTCAGATGCTGACCTGACTGGGCCACCCAGGCGCCCCCAACCACTCATCTTTTTGACTTATAACTGAACTATGATTCATCTGGGCATGTGGAATTCTACTTGTACCGGGATTCTTGATTATTTTGATAACTGCAAAGTGATACTGATATGTTGCTTTGATGAGTAAAGGTTCATAGGACTTCATAGGAACGGCTGTCTGTGTTACACCAGCCCATGATTTTATGTTTAGTAGCAATGGCATGTTTCTTAACAAGAAAAGATTGCCTTATGTGCTCCCTCACACACACATGCACAGTAATTCAGCAGATATTGATTATGTCTCATATGCCAAACACTGCAATGAACTAGTAATAGAGAGCTATATAAAATAGATACATATAAGATACATATAAATGCTTATAAGATAGATCTATATAGGATAGATACAGTTTACTGGGAGAGGCAAATTCTTGTACAGATGATTTCCATACCTTTTTCTTACTCATAAAATTCAGTGCTGAGAATTATCCGTGAACTTATTTTAACCTTTTGGAAAGCTCCTTCTGGTTTGTTTTTTTCCATCTTCTGAAACCAAACAGAAAACAAAGCCAGTAATCTATAGCATTTTGTGTTGCTTCTAAAAATGCCGTCTTCACCTTTTAAGAGACATATCTGAGTTCTGGTCTATTTGAAGATATTGGAAAGGTTCACTCTAACTATATTCTATGGTAACTGATATGATAAAAATAATAGCACTATTTTATAATTATGCAGCAATCTTCAAAACATTTTCTCAATTGGTTCTCAAGACAGTCTAAAATTACATTATTCATAACTAATGGCAGGGATAGTACAGAGAATGTCTTTCTATACAACAGAATTATAGTCCCTGGAGAGATACCTTTTAATACCCCTTTTTCTGTTTGGATATTAATCACTCTCTTTTCCATTAGACTAAAATTGGCTCATTGGCAGGATAGAGTCCTCCCAGAAATTTGGTTAGCTCACAGAGTGTTGGAAAATGAAAACCTGAGCCCCACCTCCCATTTGTAGATGTTTCTTGAGCTAACCACAGTTGGCTGGCCCCTGGTCCTGCTGCCACCTTGGATAGGTGTTCTGTCTCCAGTCTATGACAGCCCACATTTGTCACAAATGCACACGTGTGAATTTTCACCCAGGCTTTCTTTAACCTCCTGACCACTTCTGCCTCTGTCTGGAGGCCCGGGGACAGTTCCTGAATAACAGGCACAATATCTTCATAGTTTTTTAGGACTCAGGCAATTTTTCAAAAATGTTTTATTATTTTGAGAGAGAGGGGGTGTGAAGTGCACACACACACATGGGAGAGGGAGAGAGAGAGAATCCCAAGCAGGCTCTGCGTGGTCAGTGCAGAACCCAACATGGGGCTCGACCCTGTGAGCCCCGTGAGATCATGACCTGAGCCACTGAACACTTAGGGGCACCTGGGAGGCTCAGTCAGTTAGGTGTCCGAGGCTGAGGTCATGCTCTCACGGTTCATGGGTTCGAGCCCCACGTCGGGCTCTGTGCTG